TCAATGTTTCCTTCGTATTAGGGTACTCTTGCTGGGACGTTTCCTGAAGGGGTTAAGCAACAGTAACTTGCCCGACTCTCTTCTGTCATGCCTAAAGTGCACTTGGGTTCCACCTGGAACTTTTGTTTTATTTTCTTTTACTCGCCCAAGGACAACCACCCTTCTTTCTCTTGAGGTCCGTGCTCCAACAGGCTCAAAATGTTGCACAACCAATGAACAATTCCGAGACAGACATCAGTCTTAAATTTTTTTTTACCCTCCCTGTCCCCTTGGATACTTTAACATTAATTTTCCGATGGTCTTGTCATGTAATCAAATTTCAAATTAAATGATGGGAACGTCAAGTTCATCAGTTACATCTCTCTATCTTCTCACTCTCTAAAGAAAATAATAACTGATTGGGTGGTACCACTCCCTAAAATTTTCTTTTAAGCCGACCCGACCCGAAAAATGTTTTTCTCATTTATGTCAATTTTCTTGTCATTTGTAATTTTTTCAATGTACTTAATGATTCTCATTTCTTTGTTCAAACTAGAGCTATTGAAAAATTTCTCACAGTTACCTTTTGTTACATTTGTGAATTTATTTTATTTTGTATTCTAATTTTGAATAAACGGCGAATCCTCAAGGATGAAAAAAATAAAGACCAGTAGTAATAACATTGCAAACCCAACCGATGAATCTAGTCTTCTACTCTCTCGAAGTGTGTAACAATTTTTTTTTGCGGGAAACTCCGCTCATCCCTCTCAGTCCTCCAACACTTGTGTTGGATGACTGACACGGAAGAGTGGGGGTATCTGTAGTATGGTCCCCTTTAAATTTAAAATTTATCCAATTCGGCGCCCTCCAGGCCGGCAGCCAATCCCGTGGGAGCACTGTCGAACCCAGAAAGTGACGCCATAGGTGCTGCTTTCTGGTTGTTCGAGAGTGCTCTCAGTTCGTTTTGGTTCGCTTCTCCTGGATGTGCGTGTAAGTTTTTTGCTCTCGATTTTTTCCTTTTTTTGGGGGTAATCCTTGCGGATTACCCCCCATCTTTCATCGGTTCGGGTCGGTAATGTCTCTTTAGTTAAATTTTGGTCACGCCAAACCAAAGTTTTGTGTTCCTTGTTCATTTTCATCTTCTTTTTTTTATTTGTGGCATGTGGCCTGAGTCTCGAGCCCGGCGCTCAGCAGTCTATTCTGTTCTGTTACCCCACATCGCTTCAGTCAGAATCTTTGGACGTTAACCTTGAGAGAACCACCGGACCGATTTGCATGATTTTTGTTTTAAATGAAAGCCTCAGATCAGTAGATTTGCAGGCTGTGATCGTTTTTTCGATTTTCTCAAATTGTCTTACTTTTATCGACGAGTAAAGTTCAGCTGTTTCGAGCGGTCGTCCGGCCGCTACCTGCTTGCCCGTCCTTAGGTCCCCCCCTCTACGGTCTCAGCCAACCCTCCCGCCACATTCTTTCGGCAATCTCCGTTTTCTTTCGTATAGCTCTCCTCCCACCAACCTCAAAGAAGGAGGTTTGGATCGCATCGTCGTTCGTCACTCGCCACCCACATTCCTTCGCAATCCCTCGGCTGCTCCGCTTCACAGCTTCTTGATATCCTGGCATCTTATTCTCTGCGGCTTGACTGACCCTGACTTATTAACTGCAGTATTGTGTATTGCTAACAACACGTATTGTTACAGACATTTTATTCATCATGATTAAATAGATTCAACTAATTGCTCCGATTCCAATTAAGCTACTGCACCACCATTGCTAGCTGTTCCGGGCGCCCGTAGGGCGCTAGTTTTCTGTTAAATCAAAAGGAGCTGAGCGTTAACTCGTGAGCCGTGGGTATGTGACATGACAAGAGCCTTGTAGACAGGGCTTATGAGTTAAAGAGTCCTGCCACTGATCTACCCGTCGTTCGCGGTCTCCCCAGTTGCCGCTGACGTCACAGGCGCTTTTAAAGTCCCTTTCATTCTTAAGGCCCTCAACTAACGAGCACACGAGCACACCCCATCTTTTCAGTTGCACATAGTTCCACTTTGCATAAATACGTCCACGTAAGCTATAGAGTTGGCTCGTTTCTCTTTGAAAAAACGAAATAGTAGCAGACATTTTGAAACGCTGCAATAGAGATACGTGGTCTCGCACTTAGACTATGAACCTACATCAACAAAATAGGGGGAATAACTTACGGCAAGTGTGGTTTCCTGATTCTCCGGCATCGACCGAGGTTATCCCGGAAGTAGCCAATACCGCACTTTTTTAAAGCGAAAGTACCGACCTCCGGTTGGAGTGGTTGGGGCGGCGGGGAGGAGGATGGCCCCGAGGTGAGGGCAGCTGCGGTGGGCGCCTCGGTGAGAAGCGTCCCTGCTCCCGATCCGACGGGCGCCGTCGTACCAACAGTCGGCGTTCCAGTGATCGGCGGCTTCGTGGAGAACGCCGCTACTGCTGCCGCCACTGCCGTCATGTTGGAGCACTTGGTCGAATTCTTGCGGTACACCACTCCGTACTTAGTCATCTCTACGCAGTCTAGACTCTCCTCCGTTGGCTTCGCTTGTGTCGGTTTCGGTGGTTTCTCCGTGAGATCAGCGTAGTCGTAGTCATACTGTTGACAGAACAGGACAGTTGCTATTACAACATGGAGTTTCGGAAAATGAACTAAATCCCTGGTAGCAATTACCTTTAAAAAAAGTACAAAATACTTGAAACCTGTCGAAAGAAAATATTTAGGAGACCCTTCCCAAGGAGCATGGGGTTCTATTTTCTGTCTAGCACTGATTTAGAAATTGTCTATTTTCTAGACTGAAAAATAACTTAGAAAAAAAATGTAAAGAAAATAGATGTAGGTATCTAATAGAAGTAAGAAAATTATTAAAAAACTTCTAATTTCTGTCTGTGTTTCGGACACTAAATACAAGGAAAATAGAAAATTTTGTTGTCTACATTCTGCGTTTTTTTCTATCTGTTTTCTGAATTTTAAATTTCTAAAAAAAAGATAAAGAAAATATCCAATTTTCCTCTATTTTCCATCAGGTTTTTGAATATTTTTTCCTAAGGTAATAGCCCTATCAATTTTCTAGACGTAAAATCGATCTATTTTGTAGAGCGCACTATAAAAACTAGGGAGCCCTGCCCCCTGACCGCTACGCGGATCAACCCCCTATAGGGCGCTTCGCGTGCCCTATACGCATATGTATAGGCAAAAATGTTCTGCCATTTTCATACACCATTTTCTGTTTGAGCCGCATCGATTTCAAAATTTTTAACGTAACACTCAGATTCGTGAATGATGAGGAATGGCTTGATGTACATAATTTGGTATGATAGAGGCATTACATTGACGGCTAAACTCGGGCAACATGTATCTCCATTTGCGACGTCGTAAACTTCTCGTCATCCTTTTTTGTTCTTTTTTTATTTGGAAACTAATCAACATTAAAAGTTCGGGGTTTCATACTTTCTTGCACATCTACAGCTCGATGACATACATGTAAGGATCATCCTTATCGGTCCGGTAGTTCGTCAGAAATAGTGCTTCCAAGAATCTCTATATTATACAGCTACAAGCAAAATCTTGGAAGCACTATTTCTGACGAACGACCCGACCATTAAGGATGATCTTTACATGTATGTCATCTGTAATAGCTGTAGATGTGCAAAAAATTATGAAACCCCGAACTTTTAATATTTTAGTGCTTTTAAAGCTCATGGAACTTATGTCCTATGTTCATATCGTGAGAGATACGTCGTTTCCGCTAGAAACGTCGAGGTGTCACAGTGGGTTTTAACTATAAATCTAATTAAGAAAATGAAAGTCCCCATATCTGAAAGCGGAAAAGTACAGCGAAACACCTCAGGAAAACATCCCCGCTGAAAAGAAAATCATTCGCTGGGCCGTTTCTTTTTTGCCCCCCCAAGCCAAAATGGCGGCCGATATGCGCCGCCGCGGGGTGCAAATGTTACAACTCCCTCACAATGTCAAGTGACACATCGATTCCTATGTAATTTTGGTCGTAGAATCCGAATATGAGGTCAGAAATCCCTCACGACTAAAAGGGATCGCGCAAATTCAAGATGGCGGCCAAAAATAGGCCCCGGAGTAAAAATTCTCAATTCCAGCTTTTGGTGACGAGTGAGATGTCTGACATCTGAAATGTCTGAAATGTCTGAAATGTCTGTATGTCTGATGTCTGATTCCCTTCTGGCCGACAGGGATCCCTCAAATCCAAAATGGAAGCCATTTTGAGGCTGACATATTATTTCCGAAAGACGCGTATAGTCGAGTGAGGTGTCTTTTTACATGTTTTTTGGACCACATGATCAGAAACTGGGATCCAAACTGTGTCCCTGTGGGCCGGAAGGTAAGATTTGTCCCTTAGCACCTTGATTTTAACGTTTTTATCAACTATTTAAATAAAAACTCAGAATTTCACTGTTAGAACAGCGCCAACCGCATAAAGAATGCTATATTCTTACAAATAGACTATACCAGGGGCTATAGTCCCCCAGAGCAAGAGGAGGGGGAGCAAGAGGGGTATGAGGTAGAGCAAACTAAATTCAAGTTTCTATTTACAAAAATTAAATCAAGTTATATTATTTATTCTTATATTGATACATAATACTTCTATTATTACTACATGATTTGTTCGTATTCAGATAAAACATGTCTACATGATGATTGCATTCACACAGTTGAATCTTCCTTAATGTCTTGAGAAAAAAAACTGTGATTAAATTTAAAAGATAATTAAAAAAAAAAAAAAAAAACCAGCCTAACAAATGATTTATGGAACCCATTTTGGCCGCCATCTTGGATTTGAGGGATCCCTGTCGGCCAGAAGGGAATTTTTAACCTCAACTTTGGATCCTATGACCCAAAAAACATAAAAAAAGACATCTCACTCGTCACCAAAGGCTGGAATTGAGAATATTTACTCCGGGGCCTATTTTTGGCCGCCATCTTGAATTTGCGCGATCCCTTTTAGTCGTGAGGGAGGGACTTCTGACCTCATATTCGGATTCTACGACCAAAATTACATAGGAATCGATGTGTCACTTGACATTGTGAGGGAGTTGTAACATTTGCACCCCGCGGCGGCGCATACCGGCCGCCATTTTGGCTTGGGGGGGGGGCAAAAAAGAAACGGCCCAGCGAATGATTTTCTTTTCAGCGGGGATGTTTTCCTGAGGTGTTTCGCTGTACTTTTCTGCTTTCAGATATGGGGACTTTCATTTTCTTAAGTAGATTTAGTTAAAACCCACTGTGGTGTGAGATTCTACCGGAGTGACTCGAATAAACAATAGGACAATGAAAAACCTCGTGTAGGGCTCCTCATTCCGAGAGTTGAGGAACGGTGCATCGCTCAGGGTTCAAGGTTCAAGGTCCAAAGTATAAGGTTTTTACTCAATTTTTCCTCATTCTTCCGGTTTCGATTATGGCATTGGTAAATACTTTTTACCGAATTTCTATTAACATTCACATTAGATAAACAGTATATACAAAGTGAGAAGGCAAGCGCTGCGTCGCGTCAGGGCAGATCAAATACGATTAACTCTCAACGGTCGTAATCCGATTTTTTTTTCCATTAAGCGTTTCAAAATAACATAATAAATGAAAATTTATCCAGTAAGTGGACTGCGTTTACAAAAACGCACCCAGTCGCATTTTCCAAAAAATTGAGTTAGGGGCAGTTCTCAGCTCAACTAAATCTTCACTTTCCCCTTATCTCGAGTTCGTGTACAAGCGGGATCGTTATTCCTGCGAAAAATAGTTTTCCGTAACCCGCCATACACT